AAGAAGATTTAAAATTAAAAAATTCTCTTTAAACGCAAAAATTTTGTTTATTTTATTTTCTATTTTTTTTTTGCAAATATACCTATATTAATATAATTAATTTGTTATATTGTTTCCACATTGTGCAAAAAATTTATGAAAAATGTAATAAAATTTAAAAAGAAAAAAAAAAATATGTGAAGAAGAAAATTTTATACAATATAAATTTAAAAATTATTATTAATTAAGATTTTGATGGTGTCTGCATTAAAGTAAGGAAGAGAAAATTATATGTAAAAACAAAATAAAAAAAAACAAAACCTGTGCAATTTTGTTGGAAAATTTCTCGAGATAAAATTTTTAATTTATAGGGGGAGAAATCAGAGACCAATTATAAAATTGTATAGTGTTTAAATTTAAAATACAAGGTAAAACAAGGTAACGAACGAAGTTTAATCCAAATAACCCCAGCTTCCATATTGTGTATCAAGAAAAACAAACAAAAATAAATTAAAATAAAATTATTTTATACCCTTATTACCCCAAAAAAATATATACGGTTATTATGCAAATGTATACATAATTCAAATAGATATACCATATTTCACATATGTATACTTATATGTGTTTTAAAGACTCCATAAATAATTTTTGCAAGAAAATATAAAGGAAGAAAACAAAAACAACATACAAAAAAAATTTTAATGTTTTGAATATTAGCCTTAATTTTTGTTAAAGTAAATTTTTTGCAACAAAAAAAAAAACCTCACAAATTTTGCTAGATAGTGGTTGATTTCCAAAAAGTATTAAGTACGCGGTTATATGTACATACAAATTTACATATATTTACTTAATATAAGATGATTGCCCATTATATTGGAAATTTCGATAAAATTGAATAATTGCAAAAAAACTTGTTTAGGTAGCAATATCGGAAAATGGACACAAGAAATAAGAAAAGCAAACAAATACATATAATGTGTACATAAATGATCTTCCAATATTTCCCTTAAATTACTGCCCACCCCATTTAATTTCAATTAATTCATTATATATTTTATTTTATGGTCTAATTACTTCTTACAATATTAAGTTGCTTAATTTCTTGAAAATTATTAACAATAATTTTAAATCTTAAAATTTTATGAAAAAATTAGGTGTGTGTACATACATATTAAACATATTAAGGGATGTAACGTGTAATTTTGTTACATACATATATTAACATTTCTAATAATTATCTCAATGAAAAAGAAACCCTTGTCGATTCTTGTATAGTGACCTGGATGAGATAACTAGATAGATACCTAAATAAACTAAGTATGTGTAGTAAGTTTATCTACTTAAAACTAGATTATTAAATTGTACTTACCAACCAACATGTTGTTGTTTTTGTGTCATAATTGTAAAACTAACTGGAGCTCTTTGAGAAAAATTGTAAAAGTTTGAGGCTCTTAGATTTTAGATTAAATAAATGATTAAATAAAAAAGAATTGTGATTTATTTTTTGGTTTAAGAAAATTATAAATGAAATTATAATTCATTATAATTTTTATATTGCATGTATTGGATGTAATTATATAATTATGGCATAGAAAAATATACATACATACATATATTATGTATAATTTCTTGTAATAGGTATGTTCTCTAAACATAAAACAACTAAATTTGTAGGTATTTACTTAATGTGTAAATTATTATGTACTTACTTATGTTATTCGATATAAAAATTAAATCAAATTTCTTGCTTTTTATTTTTTTTTTTTTGAGTAAGACTTCGTGAAACTTAGACTTATATACGTACTTTTAGAAAGATAGACTTTTTTTCAGTAAGATGGGTTTCTAGTTTTAAAAATGTAGGTAACCCACAAATTCAGTTTGGATTTTTATGTAGGTAGGCTATTTTGTCTAAATTAAGTAGGTACCTACCTACCTTAATATTAATTTTCTTTCTAGCGGGAGGAAGGGGGGGAGGAGGGCGGGTTATTCTACTTGCTTGTTTTAAAAAAATTTAGTCGAATCGATTTCCCAAAATAAAATTTACGTATACAAATTGTTTTTTTTTAATTGATTGCATGTATAGGTACTTGTGCTTTTATTTTTTAATGTTTTTAATATAATTTTTACTAGCTTTTAGTGTATATTACTAAAGCAGATATTATTAAATTGCTAGAACTAAAACAACTATACCATGATATGGTAATTTTTTGATTGGCTAAGTATGTAAAGTAATCTGTACTTACATATACAGATAGTAGTGAGATATTTTTAATAAAATTTTAAGATTCTTAGATGAAAGAAAATTTCGATAGATATTCTTATGTAACATTTTAAATCTTTAACAGAAGACCTTGTAGCAGATTAGCAATCTTTAAACTTTACTTGTATGAATGTCGAAAAATATCCTGTACATTGGATTCGTAGTAATTATAACAACATGAGATTATTATTATACTGCAATTTTTAGGGTTGTCAGGTACGATAGTAGGTCTGCCTGGGATAAAACCTGCAAAAATCTTAAAAAGAGAAACAATCATGAAATTTCTCTCAAAAAGAAAAAGAAAATCTGATTTAAAGAAAAAATAAACCAGACAGAAAACTTTTAAAAACTTTATAGATATGCGATAAACGTCAAATTTCAAAGTATTTATCAAACGTAAAAAAATATATTTTTTAGAATTTTATTATATTTTATAGAACCAAAAATTTTGGTTTTGGATTATAAATGTTTGAAAGTTAGAAAAAACCATTTGCTATTTTGGTTATTTTATTTTATTTTTGATGGAAAAGTTTTGAAAAAAAGTTATTGTTGATGATAATTTTTTTTTAAAATAAAACCTTCGGCTATAATTAAGGAAAACATATGTTTCGACAGCTATAAGATTTGAAAAGTTTTTAGAACACTAAATTTTACTTTACAAAACTTGAACTTTAAACATTGAGAAAATGAAAACGTCATCATTTTCTCTCATTTTTGTTCAAAAAGTATTATCCCAGACAGTTTGCATGCAAAAACTTTATAAAGTTTATAAAAGTTTATAAGTTAAGAAAGTTAAAGAAAATCTAGCATAAGTATAAAAATACTTAAAGTATACATTTTTTGTCATTAAACTCTAGATTTACGAATTTTTTTTTTTTGGAATTTTGAAATATGTATATATGCAAAAGTACGTATTTTTTCCCTATCAAACTATAGATGTGCGTATTTGTTTTAGAAATTTTAATATCACTTGAATGTCCCAAATGTGAAAAAAATTGTTGCAATTTATTTTTGCTAAAGATAAGCGTCTAATGCTGACTATACGAGGTTTTTCTTAATTATTAAGAGATTTTCTTTATACAACATATATAAATATCTTTATAAAATATATATATATATGTTGTATAAAGATATATATATATAACTGCAAAAAATTGAGCATAAATCAATTTTGTTTCTATTGACATAGCAAAAGTGGGTTGCAGTGAAAATTTCTAATATTTTTTGCTTAATTTTTCTAATTTTGTTTTGAAATATTTTGATTATTTTTTACTTATTTTATAAGGTATTCGTTAAAGAAATAAGAATTTTTAAAATTTATTTCTGCCAGTATTAGGAATCCTTAAATTTCGACCCTGTTTCTATTACTGACGTGTGCTTCTATAACTACTGATAAATGTCAGTAATACGTCAAAAATCTGTATTTTTTTATATGTCGTCATATTTAAAACATTTAAATTTTTGTCTTATTATTTATTTAATCAAAATTGTACTTGAATTTTCTTTCTAATGTCCAAATTCTGACACTAAGTATTCATGTCAGTTACGTTCATTGCAGTTATTTTAGCTTTAAAAGCTGTTGTTAGTAACAAGTTCTAAAAAAGATCAGTATTATGTACAAAATTATGTCAGTATATAAAAATTAAAAAAGGTTTGCTCTCATTACGTAGCATATATATGTAAATAGTCGTTGTTAAAACAGAAAGCAGTTAAATATCCAACAGTTTTTGAATGGACACAAGACAATCCATATGATCTCTTATAAATTCTTGTGAAATGATACATCATATTTTAAGTATTATTTGTAAGAATACATTTGTAGTAAATGTTACTTATCATACTTTATAAAAAATGATGTAATTTCAAATTGGATTTTTATAAATATTTTTTTAAAAATTTTTATTCATTGTTGCATATTAAAACTACTTGTGAAAGTAACAATCTTTAGTAATAACAAGTTCAAGTCATTTGAATTTCCCTTTAATTTAATATAAAATAGGTTTTTTTTTTGTTTGAATTGTAATTTTATCCAATTTTAATTTTTTTTTAAAATATGAAATATCCGTAAAAATCTAAATTATTATTCCATTTTTATTAAATATTATCATTGTAACATTTTAAACCATTATTCATTTATAGTATATAGATTACAGCATATGAAATTACATTGTCAGTATTAGGAACACAAACTGTCAGGAATAGACACAAACATTTGCGCATAGGTCAATGTTAGGAACATTTTTTTTCTTTTCATTTTTTATCGAAAAATCATAAATTAAAATATATTTTGATTAAATAATTTTATAAAAAACATTATTCTTAATTATCTAAATTATTCAAAAAATCGGGACCACGATAGATTATTGTGCCCTACACATAAAATATCTCACGTCAAAGTTGAATTCGTTGCGTCGTATGTCAGTATTAGAGACTTTTCAAATACAATGTCCGAAAGATTTATTTACAGTATTGTTTCACACGTTTAGATGAGAGACATCGCCTCACGTTGAAAAATATGGAATGAAAAATTCTCGTTCTTCACGTGCAAGGAATTTTATAAGTATGTTCTTGAAACAACGAATTAATAAAAAAAAATTAATATCAAGCGAAAAATATGATTAAAATTTTTTGAAAAATTTCTAATAGAAATACAATGAATGAATGCATCTAAAAAATTTTTGTTTTGTTTTTTTATTTTATAGTAATAAAAACATATACAGTAATAAATAAGTCGTACATAGTATGTAACTTTATTTTTAGCAATAAAAATAACTTAATAACTTTATTGTTTTGGGTTATAAATGGTGGCAGTCAAGTTTGAACTTTAGTATTTTTTCTGATAATCGTTCCCACATTAAATCCTCTGTATTTGTTAAGGACGGAAATTTTTTGAGGGATGTTGATCCCTATGTTCATCACCCACTCAAACCCAATGTAATTGAAGCCGCCACCGAGACGTGCAATGATTCCGGTTTCAGTTTATTAGGTCTTCTAATACAGAAGTTATTAAAGCTCTTAAAATTTCGATAGATGGTTGTGTAGTTTTGTAGGAGAGTTAACCCCATTTCACCTTATCATGTTCGAACATATGCACCTTCTCTGTCATTTTTAACGATAAAGACAATTTAGCGTTGGAGCAGTAGTAAAGAATTTCTATGAAGTTAATTCCGTGGCCAGAAATAGATGATATCATTGTTAAGTCTTTTATGCAGTGTAATAAAATATATGCTTTCAAATAAAGTTAGTTGACAACGACTTTACCACTTCTGCATCACAGTAGGAAAATTAGTGTGCTTTTATTTATCTGCTATAAATACAATATGGAAGGCATAAGTAATTGAAGTTATATAATACAGAAGATAAATTCAAAATGTAATAATATTTTTTTTTTCATTTTTAGGAAAGAATAAATCTTAAATTTTACGATATTTTTGAAACTTGGATTACTCAATGTTATTTCTCCTTTTTTTGTTGTTAATGCATAATTGTAAATAATTTTACTTCAAAAAAATGTTTTATCAATGCTCTTATTCAATTTATTTGGTTTTAATTTTATATACAATTTTTTAATTATAATATAAAAAAATCATAAGGAGAAAATATTATAAAAATTAATTAAATTTACAATATGGGCGCAACAATGGGTAAAAACGGTGGGAACATATTGGATTCATTACCATCGACACAGGTATTTTTTATTGTTACATATTATATGTACGTATGTTTAATATATTTTTTATTGTTTAATATATATTATATTATAGGGAACATTACATATTGTAATGCTGGGATTAGATTCAGCTGGTAAAACAACAGCATTGTATAGACTTAAATTTGATCAATATTTAAATACAGTACCAACAATTGGTTTTAATTGTGAAAAAATTCGTGGTACTGTGGGTAAAGCAAAGGGCGTACAATTTTTGGTATGGGATGTTGGTGGACAAGAAAAGCTTCGTCCATTATGGCGTAGTTATACAAGGTAAGATATATTTTTTTTCCGTAAACCGAAAAATGTATAGTTCATTGTAGTTCAACGAGTAGTAAAAAGTTTTCAGACCTTTGTTTACCCGTATGAATACTCATAACAGTTTAAAATAAATTGTGCATTTTGATGTATAATAGGTATATAAGAGGGTTTAGAAAAGGGTCCTGTGAAATATCTATTCTTTTATGCTTAGTTCATCGCATACCGTGTCTCTAATTTTGGAGACATTACGTTCTATTGATTTAATAGCTTTGTGATAGAGTATCGAAATAGCCTTTATTACTATGTTATATAGCGAGTATTATATTTTCATCAGTATATTATCGAATCATTTCTATCAAACGAATTGTTTTTATGAATTCTTTTTGAATGTGACTTTATTTTTTAGAGCTTAAATTAGTAATTGTTTGCTTAGTTTTTTAGATCTTAAATTAAATCAATTTTTGTTACTGCTTAAAAAATGTTTGGTTCCAATTTATGCACTAAGTATCCGATTTTTTCTGTACTTAAAAATATTGTTCTTATAACGTTGTAACTGCATACGAAGCCACATATATCATATATAACAGCAAAATAGGTGCGCTTAATTTTTAATATTTGAGAGAATAATATTCAAAACTTAAGGAAAACGTGGTCCACTTGATTTATTTGTTGTATATATTTATGTTAAATGAACTGCCAATGTTTTAGTTTTTTAAAATTTCAAGTAAAGGATGACTTCCATATTGTAAAAAAAAAAACAGTTTTTAAACCGTTTTTAGACAACCTTTAAACTTGAGCTTTAAAGGTTTCTTACTGGATTGCCAAAATGGTGTTTGTATAATGCAAATGAACTGCCAATGTTTTAGTTTTTTAAAATTTCAAGTAAAGGATGACTTCCATATTGTAAAAAAAAAAACAGTTTTTAAACCGTTTTTAGACAACCTTTAAACTTGAGCTTTAAAGGTTTCTTACTGGATTGCCAAAATGGTGTTTGTATAATGCTTAAAAATTTAACAAACAGAAAAATTTGAACGATTACAATTAACGATATTCAGTGGCAGCACCGCTTAAACAAAATTTATAAAACGTATCGGAAAATTTTTCGAGACGCTCTTAGCTTTTTTCTGTGTATTCAAAACGGTTTCCAAGCGGTTGCAATTTGGAACTTACTATGTAATTTAAAACTTTTGAAATACAATATGAAGCATTTTATTTTCATTTTATTTCATTATATTTAGATGTACGGATGGTATAGTTTTCGTAATCGATTCAGTGGACGTTGAAAGAATGGAAGAAGCTAAAATGGAGTTAATGCGTACAGCAAAGTGTCCTGATAATCAGGTATGAAAATAAAAATACATTTACAAGTAATAGCCACAATTGTATAAATTTAAAAACCTTTTTTTTGTTATTTAATTTTATTGTTTGTTTTTTTAGGGTGTTCCAGTTTTAATATTAGCGAATAAGCAAGATTTACCTGGTGCTCGTGAGCCAAAAGAATTGGAAAAATTATTAAGCTTACATGAGTTGTCAACAACATATGTAGGTTATCAAAATAGTTTTACACATTCAATATCAATTAGTCCATCATCGAATAACCCATCTGGTTTATCGCAACAGCAACAAACACAACAGCAACAACAGCAGCAACAAACATCAGATCAAACATCGATAAAAACAAACAATTCATCGCAAAATATTAATACAGCAGCCACAACACCAATTGGTAGTTGTGGTAGTAATATATCAACTAATAATTTTGGTAGCTCAAATAAAACAAATTCTTCTTTGAAACAACAACAACAGCAACACCAACAACAACGAGATGATTTAAAAACGACAATAACATCGAATAATAAAAATCAATTAAATAAATCAATATCAACAGAAATAAAAAGTGATTTAATAACATCAGTTACTGACCAACATCATCATCATCAACAACAGCAACAATTGCAACAACAGCAACAACAACAAATATTAACACAAGAATCTAAAAGTGATTTTAAACATTTTAATTTAGTAAGCTCGAATTCAAATATAAATAATAGCAGTAGCAGTAGCAATTATCAAAATTTTAAAGGATGGTATATACAACCAGCGTGTGCAATCACCGGTGAAGGTTTACAAGAAGGTTTAGATGCATTATACGATATGATAACAAAAAAACGAAAAATGAATAAAATTAATAAAAAGAAACGGTAAAATAGAGTTTAATCCTTTTTTTTTTATTTTTAAGAAAAAAAGGAGCGTGTAAAAAAGACTATGCAATCTGCATATGTATATATATATATATATTTTATGTATATATATATGTGTATAGTATCTACATATTATACTTTTTAAATAAAATATATAATTAAAAAATAAATTATAAAATTGGGAAAAAATCAAAAGTTATAAAATTAAGTTAAAAAAAAAATATTTTTATAACATTTTGGAATCCGTCAAAATTTTTTATCGAAATACATATATTTCTCTAAAAAAACAAAAAATCAACTCAATTCATAAGTAATAGATGAATTTCTATATTAATAATGAAAAAAGAATCAGTAAATTAATTTTTTGAATAAAATGAAAAAATTTCAGCTTATTCCCCAGAACAAAAGCTAAATAATAAAAATTAGAACTTATGGGGGCATAGATACATAGCTGGATTTACATACATACCTATAAAAAGTAAATTTTAATGTGTTGCAGTTTAAAATTTAAAATCAATTATGTAATTAAAAATAAATTTAGTGCACATATGAATTAAAATTTAAAAGATTATGTATAATTTAAATTTATTATTTTTTTACAGAAAAATTTTATGTTTCGAAATTTGCCAAATCTTTTCAATTTAGATATTAACATCTTTATCTATTGATTTATTTATTGGTTATATTGTAAATCTTTATCTATTGGTTATATTTAAAATTAATACTTAAAAAATATTTTTATATTTGTATAACGAAAATATTTTATAAATAACATTCGTAACTTATTTGTTAATTTATTAATTTAAATGAATTTTTATTAATTTAGATTAATTAAAATGAAATTTTTATAATTTTTATTAAACAATTATTATATTTTGGTGTTGAATTATGAAGCCTTACAATTTCCGTTACAAACAAAAAAATTGCTTTAAATTTAATTTTAAATGCATATTGATTTTTCCTCTCTGAAAATCAAATCAACGTTGAAGGATTTTGAATAAAATTTAATAGCTTAAATTTGAAAAAAAAAGATTTTTAAAATATTCAAAAATAAATATCTTAATGTACAGAAAACAAACGGGATTTCAAATACTATTGTTTCAAATTCTTATTGAAAAAAAATCCTCTTATTGACGGATTCTAGAATAAAGTAAAAGAAATAAATTATAAATCAAGTGGGCGCAAATAAAAAACAAATAATAATTAAATCGAATTTATATTGCAATTTTATGCTTGTTTTTGTTGCTTATTCTTAAAACCAATTTTTAAAAAGAGTAGCTCAAACGTACAATTTTTATATATTTTATTGTTTTTATAAATATAATTTGTTATTAAAAAAACAGTCAAAAAGAAAAAAAGAAAAAAAAAGAGAAATCAAACAAAAATTAAATTAAGTATTAATTTTTACTAAAAATTAAATAAATTTTTATTAAATTTAATAAGTTATCGAAATATTAAAGTACTTCCATTAATTTTAATAAGGGCAAAAAAATTTATTTTTTTTTACACATTCTTCACAAACATTTTTCATTTGATTATGTTATATGACGGTGTTATATTTAAAAAAAATAAACAAAATAGTGAATGCTTTTTAAAATGTTGGCTAATTGATATAGGTATATTGAATTTTAAACAAAATTCTATAAGGTTTTTTTAAACATAAAAAAGTCAAAAATTTGATAATAATATGTTTATTACAAAACTCAGTAATTTTTATTTATACTTTTAATTAAGTATAAAAATGTTAATTGTAAATTTAAAATTGGAAAATAGTACTTTTCAGATACTTACAAATGTATTTATCGTAATCTAATGTAGTTATCGTAACATTTTTTTCGTAATTGATAAAAAAATTTATTTTTCGATTTATTTTAATAATTTGTATTTGTATAGTTAAGTGACGTTTTTAAATAAATATTCGCTACATATTTATTACAAATCATCGGAATAATTTCAAAATTTATGAGATATTATACGGAATCAATTTTTTTTTTTTCAAGTTAACTTATAATTTAATTAAAATCTTTAAAATTAAAAAAATTATTATTGTATATTTAATGGAATTCCGCAACTTTATTAAAGGAAATTTGCATGTTAATGATATTTTCATAGAAAAACAAATAAAAAAAATCTAGAACAGTGCCTTAGTAGAACAAAAAAAAAGAGATAAGCGTCACAATTTAAAACATTAACATATATATATTACGTAAATATCTTTATGGATCTATACAAGAGTGTAAGATAAAATAAATTTTCAAATGAAATTTAGTAGAATTTTCATCATTAATATTTTATTTTTTTTTAATTTCTATTGTGTTGTTCAATTAAATTCGTTAGATGTAGTAGTAGCAAACTAGTTGAATTAACCTAAACGGCTTAAAATTTTAAAATACGGTTTATATATATGTATTTATGTATATATATAAATACATAAATTTGTAAAAAAATATATAAATTTATATTGTAAAATTATATAAATACATAAATATATAAATTTATATTGTTAATCATGAAACATTTTATTATATTAAATAAATGATTAATAAAATTAATTATTTATAGCTGCGACCTCATGAACATTTAGGTATTCAGTATTATAATTTAAAATGGAGTACTGAATTATTAATTTTCTACACATTTATTTTTAATGTAAAGATGAAATAAATATTTGTAACCAAATTGTAAAATTATGCCTTTTTATAATTTAGTTAAATAAAAATTGAATTATAAATAAATTTTAAAATTTTTAAGAAGTTTTTTAGAATTCGTAAATAATTTCATTCGAAATACAACGATTGATAACATAGGCATTCTGTAATTTATTTTTGAGAATAATTATATTAAAAAAAATAACTGAGCTTTTTATTAACCTTATTTTAAATTTTGCAATATTAAATTAATTTTATACGTTTTTTAACGAAAACAGTTATAATTTATTTTGTTCCGCTGATGAATTTAATATTTTGAACTCAAACTTGATAGTCTTTTTTTTATTAAGTTATCAAACTTGGTAAATTTTTTAGTATTGCAAAAGGAATAACAATAATAGTAATGGTTTGGAATTTATAAAAAGGTTTAATTTTCAAAAGAAATATTTTAATAAGGCTATTTAATGTATAAATTTAACAAATAGTAGATTGTCGTTTTTGGATTTAAGTAGTACTATATTGTATCTGTGATCCATATTGTAGAACAAAAAATTTGTACAATGTAGCTATTCAAATTGCTAGAAACGAGTTTATTCAAACTTAAAAATTGCGGAAACGAGTTTATTCGCTGTTTGCTTTCTTACGAGTTTTAACTACTCAGTTAGAAAGTAAACAGTGTATTGAAAAAATTGAGCTGTAGTAAAACTTTTTTTATAGCACTTTGGATGTCACGGAAACTTTTTGAGTAGTCCATATTATAAAATAATATGCGGTTTTTTAATTATATCCCAAAGCGGAAAAATCAACTGCAAAGAATTCAATATGTGAAATTATATAAAATTCTCTGATTAAGTGGTTTTAATAATTCATTTACTAACGACATTTTGCAATTATGAATTTGAATTCAAAATTTAGAATTGATGGAATTGAAATTTTATCTTACTTCGTGTACTGTAAGAATAAAGAAGAATAAATTGTAGAACAGTTTCAAAATTCAATAAAAATTATACATATTATAAAAAAAAAGGTATTGGGAAAGCTATTAGTTTTTGCATACTAATTTTGCCTTATATTATAATAAAGAATATTTCAACTGAAATTTTCAATTGATGCGCGTTCTTAACATTAAAAAGAAAATTTCAATTATTATAGAAATTAATTAATATTTTTTTAAATATTAAATTTTTCATATTGGAAGATATCTTAAAATTTAAATCAAACAAAATTTAAATAATAAAATTTCTCGCATCTTCTAAAACTTCGAAAGAGGCTTTAAATTAAAAATTAGTTATTTATTTATTTATTTTTTTTCTTTTTTAAGTCTTAATGATTTTGAATCAATGAGAAAGAAGAAAATTGTATTTTGTAAAAATGTATTTCTCTTTTTTTTTCTTGTTTTTATTTTAACTTAATAATAATATGAGTGTTGTTTTTTCTTTTTGTGGAAAATATTTTTTTTTATATATAAACACAATGACTTCCAAAATGTATGAAATGTCATATTTAAAATAATATTTTGTTGCATTTACAATTTAGTTTATTGGTGAAATGTTAATCTGACTTCAAAATTGCAGTAATTTTGCAGTATTCCTACACAATTCAGGAATTACACCTCATAAGATAAATTATGTACGGGAAGAAAATCAGCTTTGATAACGAAATATATTAACAAAAATAAAAAGTATTTTATTCCGAATAAAAGGGAGTTTTCTTTTTATACACCAAAAAAAAATTATGTATTCATAATTAATTATCGTTAGAATTTTGAAGTCAGGGAAATTTTTTCAGAAATTATGTTAAAAACTGAGAGCACAATTTGTACATTTAAAAGGTCATGAAATTTTTTTTATTAAATTAATTAAATAATAAAAAATAAGAAATAAAAAAAAAATTAAAATTGATCGTAAGGAATAAATGTTTAAATTTGTTTTTTTTTTTTTGAGAAGTTCCATAATGAAATAAAAATAAAAGTGTGATTTAGCTAGAATATTATAAAATATATTTATAAATAATATAATTTTTTTTTCTTGTATTAAAAAGATTCTTTTTTGTATTTCATATCATATTGTATTATAAATTTACTATTAGAGAATTTAAAATTTCATATTTTATTACCATATTGTATCTTTAGCATAATATTTATTATTTAATTAAAAAATAGAAGTTTTTTTTAAATAAAATTTAATGTAAAACATTTTCAAAATGTTTATGACCACAATTTTGACTTTTCAATTAATTTTTTAAGTTTGAATTTAGTTACTGTTGTATTTTTAAGATATCAAAAAGAGATATGTATGTAAAAGAAAATATTTCTAACATAGTCCGTTAATAAATTTTGGGAAGCGCGAATTATGTGTAATATGAAGTTCGAGGATGATCGTATTAAATTAAAATACATTCTGATACTTTGAAATTACAGGTTTATATACATAATTCAGTTTACTAGAGTTGTAATTACTGAGTTTTGTAGTAATACTGCAATGTGGAAACGAGCAATATGGGTTTTCTTTCTCTCTCTGTAATAGAGTTTCATATTTAACACTTACATTTATATTGCTAAACAATTGGGCATTTTTGAGTTCCATTATATTGCACTTATGATGTTTTTATATTTGTATCACCTTAGAAATAATTTGCTGAATTCAGCAGATGCATGAATTCCTTAATAAAATTTTAATAACGCATCATATTTAAATTAAAAGTTTTAACTGCATAATATGGAATTGAATCAAGGCTTGAAAGAGGTTAAAATAACTATGATGAAGTTATACGTTTCATATTTCTGTAACAAAAAATTTGCATATTTTACAGCAAAAATAAGAATTTATGTTTCAAAGTTAATTTGAAACTTAGAACATTAATATTTCTTTTTGCCTCAACAATATAATTTAAATTTTATTATCTTGAGGAGAAAAAACAAAAAGTAATTTTGCTTTTGTAGGAAAAAAGTAAAATCAAATAAGATGAAGAATGACGATCTTACAAAAATTTTTATAAAATTTTTTGAAATCTTATTCTTTTTCTTCAG